ACGGACGACGCGGTGATAATTGAAAATTTATTAGAGCATGCAAAAAAATCGTTTATCGAATTGTAAATTCTTTATTTACATACGCATTTGGATCATATTTACATATAAATCAATCGTTTGTAATAAATGCATGAATATCGATATCGATATAGAAATGATTTTTAAATCACTTTTTTGCTGTTTCGAAATCTACGATTTTGATTGGCCGGTCAATAACGACACCTTTTCGGAACTGATCTGTAATTTGTGTAATCGAGAACGGTCACTCCTGAACGTCAAAGCAAGGAGTCGCGTCACGTTCGCTATAATAAAAAACGTAGGCTCGAAAAAGAACAAAATTCGACCTTACCAGTTCTAACAACGACGAACAATCTTATTTTCAACCCGAACCGGGTATATATGAATTCGAATTTTTTTATAGTATTAGTGTGTAAGGGTCCTTTTGCGTTGATAGATCAACTACCCAGGCAGGTTCTTGTTACGAGTATACTTGATTACGCAAAAAATTTCGTTTCTACTAATGAGACGATAGGGCCTCTGACTTTGTATTTGTGTTGTAGTAATTGCATAATCAACTGTATAGTGGCTCAATCCTTGGGGTAGGGTGGTTCGTTCAGTTCGCAAAAAAAATAAAAGGAAGCTTATGAGTTAATACACATTATATATCCGTACACTCCATGCATTAGCATAGGACCCAGTTTGTGACTCGATGACTATGTACATTGAAAAAGAATTTCTCTTTGTTCGTTGGATTGTATAACATCAAAAGGAAATATCTATAAGAGAATTGTTAACTGAAACATTAATTCGAGAAGCTAGGTTAGCCAATATCACATCTAGATTTCTTAGACTAAACCCCTTTCCCAACACAACATTTCCCCGAAGCCATATCCCGACAACTCATATCCTCGACAACCTATTTCAGCGACCACACATATCTCCGACATAACATATAACATATCTCCGACATGACATTTCATCGACATAATGTTTCATTTTCCTAAGCAAAAATATTGGGGAGGACCTTTATATATTCTAACCCTAACCTGTTCATTCCATGCAAAACCAGCCAGTTAATACATTATATCACAATATCCCATCATGTTGGGAAAACATCTTGTCAGGGAAATCTTCATTCGGGAAATATCATGTCGAGGTAAATGAGTTCGGATGACTAGAAATTCTGAGTTTACATTATTTAATTAACTTCGATATAAAACACTTACCGCGTGCATCTATCCATTTGGATTAGTATAATCATCAATACCTAATTTGGCAATTGAGTTGTGTAATCTTATTCTGTTATTTTCTAACTTTGGCAAAATGCTGTAATAGAGCCATTTAATTTAAATGACGAGTTTTGCTTAGTCATTGAGGGAAGCGGTGTTTCTTTGGCACATGTGCAAGTAGTAGGTTGGAATTGTGGTAATGACAGTTCCAATAATAGCTTACCTACTGTGGCATTTCACACGATTGTTTACTCTAAACTCCAGTCGTGTTTGTCTATTTAGTGAACATAGTATTATTCTGGCTTTCCGCATATCTGCTCTTCCATAATTTTACTGACTTGGAATTTTTATCATTAGTTCTTCTTCTGGTGCTCGTCTTTTTAAAATGTGTGTTACAATTTCGCTAACTCTAAGAGAAATAGTGGATATGGTTATTAGTTTAGAAATTAACTTCGTTTTGAACTATTTTGACGCATTTGTTCTAATCTCTTTTTCTTCTTGTAACTCAGGTTTCCATTCGGTGGACTATTGTTGCATTAAATCGGAAGAACCTTTTTGTTCTATCTATCGATTTTGTAATCATTGTGATAACTCATATCATTATTAGTAAAAGATTTTTAACCGTTATTTATAATATTAATTAGACTGAAGTTATTTAATAATATTATTGATTATTATTAGAAAAGAAGCGAGAAAGAACATGGAAAATACTAATTCTTGGTTAACAACTTTAATGCCTCTGTTTTTTGATATGATAATGAGTTCCATTTATTTCAGAGTCAGGAATCGCACATTCATCATATAAAAAAATCTCACACTTTTGAATGATATTTACAAAGGTAAAAATTCTAGAAGGTTTTGATTGCGTGTTCCATTTCTTGTGTGAGTCGCTGCATATATAACATTATCTCTTGAAGAATTAAATGTATTTGTGAAATTCCAATAAAACCTAAAGGACAATTTGGAATTGTAGAAACTCTCTTAATATTATCTAATAAACTCTCGATATAGAAAATTCATTAATAACCCGAACATCTTCCTATAACGAGTTTTGACTGTATTTTGTTAATTAAAAATTGTATTTGTTTTAGGAAATGATTTTACATATCTATTTGACAAATTCTATTTATTTTAAAATAGAGATCGGAAATTAAATCTTTTTTAAGCTATTAATTAATCATTAACGATTACATGTACTTTGATACGTATTGGTCGTTGAAAATTGTTGCTTTACATGCTAAAAATATATTTATATAGGCATTAATGTAATGTGAATATCACTGATTTTTCAAAACTCACAAGTTATAATTTTTTAATTTCTGAAATCCAAAACTTAACATAAAATGGAAAGTCGACGTTATAAATATACAAAGAATTTCTTCTCAGATATTAAATTATTTAATCGATCGGTTATTAATTGTTGATAATTATCAACGATCAAATTAGCAGAGAATTTCAATTATGAGTTATATGATATGAATATGATTACTTTAAAACATACATGATCTAATATGATTTATATCAATTTCGAATTTATTGCGTTTTGCTATCATAAAAATTGATTCAGCAAGATACTTTTTAAAAGGTTGGAAACACACTAGTGGTGATTTTTCATCAGTGCCAAATTAAATTAGGGGTATGAGGAATGGTATAGTAAGGTGCTGCTGGGATAATATTAACAAATAAGGCAGTGGTTTAGCACATCGCTGGTGTGATTTAGACGCATCAAAAATATTTGTTTCATTTAGTATACATTAATCTGAACAGTACGTAAAATATGACTGGTTAGGGATGGACAGAAATTAGCTGATTTCTTAGGGGTTGGGATGAGTCAGGTCCTTTTATAATTCTAAATCAATAATTATTATTATCATTCAGATGAGGGAGGGATAAGGGATATAATAAATTGAAATCACCTGATTTCTGCCCATTCTCCTATCGTTACGCTGTTTTAGTTCATTATTAGATCGTATCGATATCAAATATTTCATATATCGCGAGCTAAACCTTAACGTTATTTCGAAGCTAGTTTTCTATATCATTATAGCAGTTGCTGTATCCTGCACTACTTAACGGGGTGGCGCATATTCCCGGCGGGATACGGTATGTATGTATTTATTATTTTACATGTACTACTTTCTGAATGAAATCAGAAGTGGTGGGTCCGCCAGAATGCGATATTTTAATAAGAATAAGATTACACGAGGAATAGATAAATAAAGGTTGCACGTACTAATAAAGATTACATATACAAATTCCATTCTACTATTTTTGGTTCATAAATTTAACAAAAGCTATACAAAAAAATTTTTTATATAAGTATGTCGAATTTAAATTTCTCAAAAATTTATTTTTCTCTAAGAGCCAAGTATTCCATTATTGCAAAATGAATATAACTAACAATAATACTGAGAATAATTTATCATTTTCAAATCATGAAAATCCGATACTTGAAAATTTATTTGGTTATGCGGGGACAGCGTTGCTTTCTATTCAATTATTACCTCAAGGTAGTTTTAAATTGATTCGTTTTTGTTTGTAATAAATTTACAAGTTCAAATAAATCAATATATAAATTTCTTTAAGTCTATAAAAGTTGGAAAAGGAAAAGCACGAAAGGTAAATCAATTGATCTAACGATATTTTTGAATGATCGAATCAACCAAAATTAGCTAACAAAAAGCAAATTTATTTAAAAGGGCTTTCATCGGCAATGATGTTATTATGGGTAAGAATATTTTCTGATTTTTATTACGTAATGACTACTCTTTAAAATTAACCACGATATAATTTTCTTATTATAAAAGGGAATCTCATCAGTTTTATTTAGTGTTTACAGCATCGGAGTTTCTCTTTCAATTCCAATTTTACTACAACCTCAACTGTTTGGTTTACTATGTTTGATATGTCACGTACAATGTCTTTATTATAGTAGTAATAAATATCATAAATACGGTCATGAAAAAGATAACGATAACAAAGTAGTCAATACTGAAGAAAATAATATAGATTCCACGACAACCACAGTAATTTCTGATAATGAAAGGAAACTTAAATTACGCAATCATCAGATTAAATGCGTCATTTTATTTTCATTGTGGATATTATTATTTGCAGCAATTCAAACGGGCGGTATATTTTGCATAAAGGTAGAAATCGACTTTCGAAAAATTGGTTTCAGACTTTTTTTGTGTGATATCTCGTTTATGAAACATTTATTTCTGTATAGAAATCACGTGAAAGAAATATTTCATGGCCTGAACATGCTATAGGAATTCTTGCGTTAGTGCTTGCGTTGATTGGTTTTCTCCCACAATTTTATGTAATATTTCTCGAAAAACGGGTTCATGGTATTTCTTTTATATTCACTATTATGGATATGGTTGTAAGTGTTAATTGCTTTTTATATGTGGTTTTCTTCATTCTTTAAATAATGTTGTATTTGTTTTCTTTGATACAAGGGTTCAGCATTCGAATTGCTCAGTTTGGGTATGAATTTATATATTAAATAATTTCGTATGCAATATTTATATTCTGAATAATAACAAATATATTTATTCTATTTGAAAATTCAGTATTTGCGCCTCCACCTTTCAACGTTCTTGCATCAGTAATCTACATTTACATATTCGTATCCCAATTGTTGATTATTTTGCTATATTATTTTTTTCATATGGTGAAATTCGCGTAATAACAGAGATAGCCGAGAAGGAGAATCATATTTGACGATTTCTATGTACTTTTAAAATATAAACACTTGGAATTTTTCCATTATAAATGTACGCACTCATGATACATGATTTTACTTTCGATTAGCATTTATTTTCTATGCTTTTCGTCGTATTTCCATACTTGATAATATGGTTATCGGAAAACTAAGCAGTCCTTTTTTGGAGGAAAGGGTTTTATTTGCATTTGAGGAATTACGTTTATGCAATATATTACTCACAATGTTACAATATCATCAATACTCGGCACAATTTCATTTTTGAAGTTATTAATTTCTATTACAAACTTAAAATCCATTAAATCTATCACTTACAACCTCTCACATTTTACTTGATCCTACATGTTTAAAAAGATTAACATGTACAGAACATAATAATTCATATTGATATGAAGGGATTACTGTTTTTATTATTTTTATCGATATTAATAGTGATAATTTATGTATCTCAGAGGTGCCCAATTCTCGAAGACAAAGGTTTTTTCAATATCTATTGGATTCAAAGAACAAAAAGAATCAAGTTGTAATCCTCTCTTGAAATAAATGTTGCAGCATCTTTTTTAGCAAGATACTGTTCAAATGGTTTTTAAAAACACTCCTAAAAAAAGAAATTATATGCTATTTAACTTGTCACTTTTAAAAATAAACATGTATAGAATTAAAAATGGTTAGAATTAAAAAACGCGCTTTTTATATACTGACCACGATCTTGTGATCACAAATTTGCATTACATGACCAGAAATGAAATATCGAGATCCTGTAACCACGTACGTATGTACATGTACATGTATAGTCTGTAACAAAAAAACCGTAATGAAAAAAATTATTATTGTATTATAAATAATACAGGTAACAAGATAAAAATTAGTTAATTTGAAAGCTAAAAGCACACGAATTTATTCTATATAGGTTAAAATGATATATGTTCTCCATTGCATTCAATAATAAGTTCACAACGTCATTTATCGAACTTACAAGATTGATTAGAACGAAGTCTTGGATATCTCTCCACTTCTCCATTATAAATCTTTATAATTCATTAAGATTTTGTGGCATTCGTCTCTCTACATTTTCTTTAACAATTCCCCAAAGATTTTCAATAGGATTTAAGTCAGAACTATTTGAGAGCCAGTCCATAACTTCTAAAACATTATTCCGAAAAAATTTTTTTGCACAATGACTTGTATGCTTCGGGTCATTGTCTTGCTGGAGTCACCAATTATTTTCAAACATTTGATTAATTTCTGGAAGCTGTTTTTGAAGAATTTCAACATAAAATTCTGCATTTTTAAGCAAGTAATAAATATTTAAATATGGAGCTATTTATTTATTGCTTTTTATTATATTAGATTTTGTTATAAATTATATAATATTGTGATTTAATTAATTAATTATATTTATAATAATATCAATAAAAATAATTTATTATTAAAGAATTATAATTTTTATATAATTATTATTTGCTTAATCTATTATTGAATAAAGAAAAAATATTAAAAAAATTATATGAAATATTATTTTATTTATATTATTATTCCAATTTTTAATTAGTATTTATATAATAAAAGAACTTTTAATAAATTTTTTTTTCAAAATTATAAGAGAAATTATAAGATTAAATATATTTATATTAAAAGAATTATATTATTACATGTTTTTCACTAATTGGATAATTAGCAAATAAACATGAACAAGAGTTGGAAGTAAAGATGGCGCAGTAACTGTTGCAATGTGATGACAAATAAAGCATCATCTAGTTGCAACTAGTTGCAGCTTATAAAATTTTGGAGTTGCAACGTGTTGCAATAGGTGATAAATAAGCATCACATACTTGCTGCGCTATCTCTATTTCGGACTGATCATATGTTTTTCAGTCAGAGCTATTACTTTCAGACTGAGATGCTGGAACTGTTGTTGGTTTTCCAGGATGTAGTAAAACTTCTCCATCCTGTAGAGGAACATTTTCCCAGCTGCAAAGAGGATGATACAAATTTGCCTCTTCATTATAATAATATTCAGGATGATAGTGAGGATAATCTTCTTCTATTAAAGGTAAATTTGTTTCTTCTTTATCATCTTCATCTTCATCATCATCATCTTCTTCATCTTGTAGTTTAATAATAAGTTCTTCTTCTTCTCTTTCTTCACATTTACTGCAATTTTTATGATCTAGATAGTGTCTATTTCTAAACCAATGGCAAAAACAATTTTTTAGACTATATTCTCTATGAAAGTATTTCTCTTCGGCTGCATCTTCATATTTAATTATTTTTAATACTTCAACACAATCCCAATATTTGTATCCTCTATGAGGTGAATCTCCCCAATAATTTGAATTATAAATATGTGAAAGCCTAGAGCGCTGTGATGAAAAGATTCTTTGTAAATACTTGAATTTGAGATAATGATAGTTTTCAAGTGAAATCATTTTGAAAGTTGTGATTCTTGTCCCAGTGATGGCGACGTAAGGTTTAACCAATTCCATAAGCTTAGTTTAATGACTTTGCAGTCAGATAGATTAATCTTCTATAAGAATATATGGCTCTGATAGGGATCTTTAGTGATATAATTTTAGTCTTTCACTATTAACTGATATTTTTAATAATTTTCTATCCAGTATTCTTAATTTGTATGTGTCATTTCCAAGTATATCATGAATATAATATGGTCTTTTCCATCTATCTTCTAGTTTTCTTTTGTCTCTTAGATGACTTTTATAAAGTAAGACTTGTTCTCCAATTTTGAATATGTGAGTTTCTTTCAT